GTATTTAGTGATCAAGATGTATGTGTAGAATGCACTAATGAAAAGCAAACTAGACATACATTAAAGAGATCTGCCAAGAGAAGAACTAAAATCTCATAACTTATTCACACTAATTTTTGTGGTCTATTCAACGTCCCTTTGTGGGGTGATGTAAAGTATTTAATCACCATTATAAATGATTTCTCACGTTATGGTTATATTTATCTACTACATGAAATGACTCAATCATTGGACTATCCAAAAATATACAATGATGAGATGGAAAGGTAGTTAGATAAATAAGTAAAAGTTGTCAGATCTCACTAGAGTGGTGAATATTAATGTAAGTTCAATAAAAGAGAATAATGTCCTAGTCCATTTGCAAGGTTTGTTGAGATTTAAAATATTTGTGTGAAATACACTATAATTGAGACTCCTCAATATAATGGTATTGTTGAGAGGATAAATCGTACTTAAAAGGATATGATTAAGAGTATGTTGAGTAATTCAACATTAACGTTTTCTATGTGGATGCATGTGTTAAAGATTGCTGCATATTGGGTAAACCAGGTTCCTAGTAAAGTAGTTCCTAAAATATCTTATGAACTATGGAAGGGTAGGAAACCTAGTTTGAGGCATCTTCATATTTGGGGGTGTCAAGCAGAAGTGAAAGTATATAATCTACATGAAAAGAGACTTGATCCTAGGACGGTCAGTGGTTCTTTCATTGGCTATTCAGAAAAAGTTCTAAAGGATATAAGTTTTACATGCCTAATCATAGTACGAGAATAGTTGATTCCAGCAATGCTCGATTCATTAAAAATGATCAAGTTAGTGGGAGTTTGGAACTGCAAAGTTTGGATGTCAAAGAAGCTCGGGTTGAACAGTCCAAACCCGAGAGTCCATCAATAGTTTTTATTCATTTTGTTACAGTAACGTCATGTAACTTGGATGAATAACAAAATGATCCAAACTCACTTGATAATGAATCGGTTACAAACACTCAAGAAATTATAGAACAACCTATGGTTGATGAAATCACAAGCCATGAAAAGTAAAAATTCTGTAAAAGTTGATCAATGCTATGAAAGAATAATTACAGTCAATGGATGACAACAAAGTTTGGAATTTAGTAGAATTACCTGAAGGGTCTAAAAGGGTTGTGTGTAAATGGGTTTTTCGAAACCAAACACGACTCTAAAGGTAATATCGAAAGATATAAAGTTAGACTTGTTTCTAAAGGTTACACCCAAAAGGAAGGCATTGACTACAAGGAAGCATTATGTCTCGTTTCAAAGAAAGATTCCTTGAGAATTGTAATGGTAATGGTGGCTCTGTATGACTTTGAGCTTTATCAAATGGACATAAAGATCACCTTCTAAATGATAAACTTAGAAGGAGATCTATATGAACTAATTAAAAGTTTTTTAGATCACAAGAAATGAAACATTATTGTGTAAGTTGAATAGATCGATATGTGGACTAAAATAAGTCTCTCGTCAATGGTATCTTAAGTTTAATGATACCATCACTGCTTATGGTTTTGTAGAGAATACCGTAGATCGGTGTATCTACATTAAGGTCAGTGGGAGTAGATTTGTTATTTAGTTTCGTATGTCGATGACATATTATAGTTGCTAATAATGTGGACATGTTGCACGAAGTAAAGTATTCTCTCTATAAAGTTATGAAATAAAGGATGTGGATGAAACGTCCTTGCTAATTGGAATAGAAATATTCTGGAATAGATCACAAGGACTAAAAGTTTATCCCATAAAAGTTTTATTTGAGAGATAATGGATGGTTGTTCCATATAATTCCAATTCATAAAAGGGACACATTTAGCCTAAAATAAATGTTTGAAAGGTGAAATGGAATGAAAAGTGATGGAGGAAATTCCTTAGATATAAATGATTAGGAGTCTTAAGCGAGACGAACATGTACTAGGTTTGATAATATATTTGTTGTTGGTACGTTAAACAACTATAAAAATGACTTTAAATGATTATGCTGCAAAGAAATTTTTAAAGTACTTACAAGGCATTAAAGAACACATGCTAACTTAAAGAAGATCCAAATTATTGGTTATAATTGGATACTCGGATTCAGACTTTTGCTCATAATGTCTAAAGGAGCAAAATTATGGAAAGGTGGAACAAAAGTCCATCATCGCGACTTCCACGGTGTAGGATTGAGTTTGTGGTATGCTTTGAGGCCACAAGTCAAATTTAGGGCTACGGTGCTTTATATTAGGACTTGGAAATGTCGACATATTGTCCAAGCCGCTAAGAATTATCGCAGTATTGTAGCAATAATATTTCAAGGAATGACAAGTATTCAAAGGGTGTGAATCACATAAAATTAAATATTTGGTCATAAAAATAGAAGTGAAGAACTAAAGTGTCATTTGAGCATTCTAGTACTACTTGCATGAAAGCGGATCCATTAAAAGGGTTATTACCTATAGCCGTTGCAAGGCATATAAAGAAAATTGGGAATAACGAATGGGGCCTTGTTGGACTGACCGATACTGAATGAAATTGCTCAATTAATGATTTTGACACTTATTGAATTCGATTAAAGATGTTTGGTTCTTCACATACAATATCATCATTATGGATATTTGATTTTATAGTATATACATAAATGTTGGATGACTTATGGTTATGGTACGAATAGTTTGTTCCATATTAAAGTGAAGTTGAATTAGAAATGATTTGTGGTACATGGAAGGGATCATGTCGCTCGAAGACTTGTGACCGCCATGACTCGGTTAATTTCTAGTTTGATTTTAAACTTATAAATATATGTATTCAATTATGAGTTTGATGAAAGGTGCGCGCTTAAAGTAGTTCTTTGAGTTTCGACACTTATATGGTCCAAGTGGGAGAATGTAATAATAATTTATGTATTATTCTATTATTGTGGACCATATAATTAGTTGGACCTACTTGAATTAATAGTCAAACTTATTTAAGGTGATTATGTATTTAATGGATTATTAATGTTCTAATATTAAAGAGTCCAATTTGTGATGTTTGACTTGGACAATAAGTTAGGTTAGAACATGGGGAATGTTAGTAGGATTGGGATTGTAGGTCTCCTCCTATATATATTACTACATGCCCCTCTCTCCCATCCCATACGCAAATAAAGTTCTCAACATCAAGGGCTTTATGAAAAGACGAGAGAAGCGGGAGAGAGAAACAATTCATAGGCAAAGGGGAATCCATCATGGAGATTATGAGAAAGATAGATCCATGACATTACGAGACGAAGAGATCGCAGATCAACATCATAGATCAAGAAAACAGAGAAGGACTATAAGCTGGATTCTTGTAAGTTCTATGTGCAATTTAATTCATGCAACGATCCATATTCTATGAACTGATAGAATTACATGCTTAGGGTTTATTCAATTCCGCCTAATAGTTATGAGTATGCCCGTTAAATTTCTTACACGCAATATATACCGTCGTGAACATATACTGCCTATACACATAACATATACTACCATAAACGAAGCAGGCCTACTTTGACGACGTTCAGCTTGTGCACAGTATTTGGATGTGGACCCGAACTATGTCCACCTCTTCTTCGCGGTGCCATCATCAACAGATACAAAACACCAATCCGGTGGTGATCCTGTCATGTACTGAGTATAGTCAAATGAATTATAATCATTATTTTTTTTTTTTTTTTTTNTTATTATTTTTATTTTTTTTGGTCCAAAGAAATTTATCACTATAAAGTTTTGTGCTATAATGTAAATAAGTTTATCACAATCTTTCAGGATAATACACAGATACGCAATAGAGATACAAGCACATTCCACAAAATCATCTTAACCTCTGAAACCTTCAAAATCCAAAGGCAAAACACTAAGAGCATGCTTGGATATAAAATCAATTCAAAAAATCCAATCATTTTTAACTCAACCACTTTTCTTAACTCAACTTTAACTCAACCCCACTATCATTAATTTTATCAATATAATTAAATAATATCAATCAATCATTCTTACACACAACATCAACCTTAATTCACTATTCATCACCTCACATAATTTTAACTAACCATCACATCACATCTTATCTCTCTTACTTTTACATCAAATTAATTTTAATCCTTTTATTTTAAATATTATTTTAATTTACCCACTAACAAGTAACCATACCAACTTTTTCAAATTTAACCAACTCAAACCAAAAAATCCAATCAAAACCAAAAAATACTCTCAGGCACACCATTCTAGCACAATTATACTTTCTAAATCGAGTCACTTCTTTAGATGAGGATTTAGTGTTTTGAAGAGTTGAGGGGACTGGGGAGGCCCACGATAAAAAATGAGTAGTGGATTATGAACGGAAACGTGGCCGAAAATTGGTTCTTAACAGATCCGTAGACGGAGGCGAAGCGGCGAAGGGGTGGTGGGAGAAGGAGAACAGCGGCAAGAAGAAGATGAGAGAGAGAAAGGGAGAGAGAGAAGAAGAATAGAAAAGGGAGATATCGTAATTATAGCTCTCATTAAATCTCTTTTACCATAATTAAAAACAATTATCTGTTACTCAATAATCTAGTATGTTTGCAAATAAATATGATAATTTTAGTTAATTTGTAAATAAATATATATGAGTTATAAATATGTAATAAAGATGTTAATGTGTAGTGGGGTAGGTAATTTCCTCAAAATATAAATGAATTAGTAGGGCCTATATCCTGCCAAATGACTTTTCAAATATAAATATTTTGTAGAATCCATTGAAGCCTTTTCGAAAAAGGTAAGTCACCTCCTAATATAAATAGATTTCTTTAGAAGGGCTATTGTAAAACTCTATTTCTTAAAGGACTTCAGGAAAATTAAAGCTCTTCGAATGTTGGT